TTGGGGGAGAAGAGATGAAGGGATGTGCTGTGCTTAGGCAAGAGGAGATGGAGGCGTGCGATGGGCTTGTGGTGGGCCAGGAGAGGTGGAGGGATAGGGTTTGCATCCTCTGGGCATGAAAAGCTGGAGGGGTGGGGTGGGCTTGCGCTAGGCAAGGAGAGATGGGAGGGTGGTCTGTGCTTGTGGTGGTGGTCCGGGAGAGATGGACAGGGTTGTGCTTGTGCTGAGGAAGAAGAGGTGGAGGGATGGGGTGTGCTTGTGGTGGGCACGAAGACATGGAGGGATGGGTCTGTCTTAACCAGGAGCTGCTTCTGACACAGTGCTGTGTTATTATTCAAGGTGGTGGTGACCTTGGCCTCGAACAAGCCACAGGGAAACAAGCTGGCCCATATCATATGCCATTTCTGACTTAGGGCTGCCCTCCTCCTGCTCGCTCCTCCCCGTGGCAGCGCAGTGCCTGCATGGCGTGTCGCTGGCTGACACGCGCCGGGGCATGCTTACCTGCACTTGCTGTAATTTTAGATGATGCTTTTTACAAGAAACAAGAACTGGAATTATAAAGTCGCCCTCATGACTTTGTGATTGTTGCACAGTGTTGGGAGAGCTGCCAGTGATACGTGAGACACTCATCTGCCTCCTGTCTCTCGGAGAGCTGATACTTGGTGCAGTGACACATAGGATGGACTTTTGTTTTTAGGGGGAAATGAAAACAGCTTGACATAAAGAAAGCACAGATGGCCCAGACATAACAAAGAACTGATTTGTGGCGAAAGCCAGTAAATGCCCACTTCTCCCATCAAAACACAGCTTCAGGAAGGAAAAGATGTCGCAGTGTAATACAGACCCACAACGGGCTGTCGAGAAGCTCTTTTCTGTGGGATAGGAGCCTCTGAAGTCAAGTGTCTAGAAACGCTGATGACTTTGAAGTTTGTTAGAGGAGGAAGCGTTCACCAGCTCAGTTCAGAAACCCTTTCCCCTGCATATGTCCTGGAAGTGATGACACACCTGAAACAGGGCTGGGATTTCTCTCCCTGCGGAGGAAGCCTCAGCCCCGTTGGCGCCTGGCAGAAGGCAGCGGGCACAGTGGTGCTGCAGGGCTGGCATGTGGGAGAGGCAGCGGTGCAGGCTCACGGGCAGGGCATTTCTCAGGGAGAGGTGTTTGAATGAAGGCTACGGGCTGGATGCGGCTTTTGCGTGGCCGTTCCCAAGATGGTGGCTGGACGCTGGCTCAAGCAGGATCCCGCAGTGCACTCTGCCGGGTTGTGACCTGGTGTCAGAGCAGCTTAAGTTGGCCACAGAGGAGTTTCTGATGTTTTTGAGAAGGTATTGCCTTCATCTCTTGTCTTCTGGTGTATAACCTATATGCCTGTCCTGGTTTCGGCAGGGATAGAGTTAATTTTCTTCCTGGTAGCTGGTACAGTGCTGTGGTTTGGATTTAGGATGAGAACAATGTTGATAACACACCGATGTTTTAGTTGTCGCTGAGCAGTGCTTACACTAGTCAAGGACTTTTCAGCTTCCCATGCTCTACCGACTGAGAAGGCTGGAGGGGCACAAGAAGCTGGGAGGGGGCACAGCCAGGACAGCTGACCCCAACTGGCCAAAGGGACATTCCAT